CCCAGCCCCAAAGGATGAGGCCTGGGGGCCATGTGAAACCAGTTGTATGGGGTATAGATGTGGCAAACATGGGGACTGGTGTCTTTTTGGTGCTGTGGGTCAGGTTGACGGCTGGCCTCAATGGTTGCCTCTGTGGTGTCACCTCCCAGCATTGGCAGCACCAATATGTGATGATCAGAAAGGTACAGAGCCCGCTTTGGGGTGAATCAAGCTGTCCCTCTGCCCATCCCGTTGGGCTTAGCCCTCCTGGCTGCACATACAGAGCCTACTGCCACCTCTCTCCCCATCAGCACAGCCCCAGTGGGTGCTGACAACCATTGTGTGGCCAACTCACCCCAATTCTTCCAGTTTTCTGTTGGGGAAACTGAGGGACATCAGGGATCCCAAAGCTGGTGCTTGCCACCATGGCGTGGTCCCCAGCCACCCTGGTGCCACCCACCTCCCTCCTCCCGGCATTGTGCACATGCCGCTGACCTTTGGCTACAAAGCAATCAATAACTGAGGTTGTGGTGCTGCTCCTCCCCCTTGGCCGGTGCCCCTAATGAGCTCCGCTGTGATTGAGGGACAGTCAGGTACCTCCCATTGGTGGGGACACCAATGGTGGGGATGTATCAACCGGCGCAGCGCACAGGTGTGCTCCCAGGGATGCTCTACATGGGAATCCCAGCACTCCAAAAGCACTCCCTTGGCATCAGTATACTTTGATGCAAGGATGAGCAGTGCTTGCTCAGGGCCTGTCGTCATGCCACGCTTCCCACTTTTTGTGTGGGGTGGGAGGGGAACAGAATTATGCTACCGGAGTGAGGGGTCCTGATCAGGTCCATGGGCTCCACTTTGCACCCCAGCTCCCTTTGATAAAAGCCCCCGGGCAGCTCTGATCGATTGGCTGCAGAGCAGGGATTGATCAGGACTTCAGCCCCATACATATTCCTGCTCTCTGATAAAGGGAAATCAATAGTTGAAAGAGATTGTCCTCTGAGGCAGCCCCTCCAGAGGCAGCAGCCTCCAGCAGGCCAGAGCAAGCCCTGTCCTTTCCTCCTAAATGGCAAAAGGGGTTCTTCTTTTTCTTCTTCTTCTTCTTCTCCTTCTCCTCTTCCTCCTCCTCCTCCAGGTGCTACCCCACAGACCATTCACAGCCCACCGCCTCTAAGCCCCATGGCTGCTGCAGGCACTGCCCTGTGCTCAGCCCCTTCGAGAGCTGGAAACTCACTGCAGATGCGGCTGGGCTTTAGGTCAGCCCAGATGGCTGCTCTTTCTTCCCCTTCTCGTATCCCTTCTCCAGCTGTGACTCAGCTTCCTTACCTGTTAAATGTGACTCATGCCCGCGCTTTTCTCCTGGCTGCTTTCATTTCTCGCACCCTGAGCTCACACTGTGCCACCGCCACAGTGCCACAGCTCG